TCCAAAATTTCAATAGAAATCGTATCAACATCTTTATTAATATAATCAAAACATTAAACTTTTTTGCAAGTTATTTTTAATTATATAATGATTTAAAAAACATTTTTCTGGTGCATGTTTTATTTTATTTTTTAAGGAACAGAAAACCACTGTAGTTTTAAAAAAAGCTTTGTTGCAATTACGCACCAGTCCATTATTTAGGCTGCACTCCTCACTAGGAGTTCAAACGTCTACAGCAAGAAATGTGTGTGCAAATATTTTGCACTAATGCTTCTTTGGGTATATTTGCCCTTTGTTATATTTTAAACTTCTCATATTTTAAACTGTATTTTATCAAAGTGGATCAGACCATTTGATATCCCTACCAGTGATAAAATTGCAGGTGTTGCTTCAATGAAGTACGGTAAGTTCCCAATTTTAGATCTATGATCTTTTCTGGGAAATATATATATATATATATATATATATATATATATATATATATATATATATGCAGGTTTTGGTGTCCTCGGGTGTCTTCCCGTGTAAAAGTTGGGGTGTCTAGGCGACGTTTCGACGAGGTCTCACTCGTCATCTTCAGGCTGGTGCTTTCGGCTTCTTGTTACTGGAACAGAGCTCTGTTCCAGTAACAAGAAGCCGAAAGCACCAGCCTGAAGATGACGAGTGAGACCTCGTCGAAACGTCGCCTAGACACCCCAACTTTTACACGGGAAGACACCCGAGGACACCAAAACCTGCATTCCTGTACCCGTGAAAATCTACGAAAGCAAATATATACTGGGGGGAGCCAGTATGATTTGATAACATTAAGCATTAAGGATAAGTGATGGATGACTTTTGAAGATCATAACACTGGATAAAAATGTCGGCCATCCGCTTCATTCCATTAGTTCTGTTTCTGTTAAATATGAAACAAACAATGAAAATATAAGGTAACATGCATAGATTTTTGTGTTAAGCATGTATTGCATTTTAACTATGTTTTGTATTAACTATGATTTGTGTAGATACATCTTAATTGGCAACAGAATACAGTGGTGTCCCGCAAGACAAATGCCTCGCAAGACGAAAAACTCGCTAGACGAAAGGGTTTTCCGTTTTCGAGCTGCTTCGCAAGACGAAAAAAATTCTGGGTTTGAATTTCTGTGTGGTGGGTGGCTGGGGGAACAGTTGGGGAGGGGTTTGCAAGAATCTGGAAGCTTGTGTTTTTTTTTCTGCATTTTTATGATTTTCTGTGACCATTGGGCCACTCTGCTGTTTTTTTAAAAAATTCTGGGTTTGAATTTTGAAATGCTCTTTACAGTATGCGTGACTTTAAAGAGCAGTTAATAAATTCTTGTTGTACCAAATTTGGCTTTTTTGGACTTTTTTTGACCATAGGAACGCATTAATTGATTTTCAATGCATTCCTATAGGATTTCGTGCTTCGCAAGACGAAAAATTCGCTAGACGAAAAAACTCACGGAACTAATTAATTTCGTCTTGCAAGGCACCACTGTAGTCTTGAATCCACTGGATCCAGCTGCCTCCTCAATTCCCTGATAGTTCCCTGGATCTGCTGCCTTAAATATACCAGTCTCGAATTTGAGGTTCCCATTTCTTTCAGAGGTAAGCGACAGAATTATAAAATTGTCAGCAAGAGAAAAATAAACATGCAAACACAGCACCAGCTTCCAACCCTTGCCGGACATGCTGGCAAAATTATGCACAGCTTAACTCCCCACAACCGCTTAGGATTGCCTTGTAAGTTACCGTATTTTTCACTCTATAGGATGCACCGGACCATAGGAGGGGGAGAACAGGAGGGGAAAAAAAATCTCCCCCTCTCTGCTCAGCGCCCCTTCAGCAAAGCGGCAGGAGAAACTGAGCCCCTTCCCTTTCTCCTCCCGCTTCGCTGAAGGGGCACTGCGCAGATCTCCCTCTCTGCTGAAGCCAGGAGAGTCTTGCTCTCCCGGCTTCAGCAAAAGGAACCCGGAGCCTTTGGAGCACATCGCGAGGTCCTGCTGCACTCCAAAGGCTTCAGGCGGCTATCACTGAAGCCTGGAGAGCGAGAGGGGTCGGTGCGCATCGACCCCTCTCGCTCTCCAGGCTTCAGCGAAAGCAACGCGAAGCCTCCGGAGCGCGGAGGGAGCGCTCCCTCTGCGCTTCGGAGGCTTCGCGTTGCTATCGCTGAAGCCAAGGAGCCTGCATTCGCTCCATAGGACGCACACACATTTCCACTTAATTTTGGGAGGGAAAAAAGTGTGTCATATAGAGCGAAAAATACGGTATTTGCACTCTGGTGTCTTTGAGAAGGACATCATTCTACTTCTTTTTGGGTAGACATATTTGAACCAGGCCTAACCATCCAACTTCCTTTTCCCAGTCTGCTTTACATCCATCCTATGCCCAACAAAACAATTACCCTCCCTACCTTTCCATTTTTCCTATCAGCTAAGGTCTTTTGGCCTATGCTTACCAGGCAGCAGAGTCCACTGAAAACCTCTGAGGCAATGGAGGTGGGCACCAAGTAGCTGACATTTGCTCAGCTCATGATGGAGGCAACACATAGTTGGGAAATCAGCTAATTTACCTGTTGTCCCTTTTTATTTCCATTTATCCACACAACGCTATACACATTTCTGGTCATCAATTTGAAGCTCTTTTCTAATATCCTTGGAAGGGTATCAATCTACTACTTCTTCTTCTACAAATCAGCCTCAGATTTCAAGGGTTATCCCAGCACAAAGATACTAAATATAAGAATTGCTAGGGGCAAAGGAGGCCAGTTGGGTGGGGAGAGGATTGGTTGGCTGGTACCTATTCCCCCCTCCCCTCGCATAGTTTATCCTTTAGTTTGTGACCTAAAGTCAACATAGATCAAGTTGTCCAGTAAATAGTTTTAAACTAACTGCAACACTTGACAAGAGCTATCTACAATGTGTACCTGCTCCATTCTGTGGGAGCCAAATATAATATGTATGTCCTCTGATCTTGGGGTCTCCTAGACCTCCTGCTACTTCCTCCAAGAGCAGAAAATGGCCACAAGCTCCACCATTCTCTGCAAGCTTCCCCTTTCACCCTGACATTTAAACTGCTGCCTCAGAACACCTAATAGCATTTTGGAGGATGAAAGCTGTGGTGGGCATTGTTCCTCAGCTCAGCTTTCAAAGAAGCAGCAAACTTCATCACTATAAATCTTTGGGATGGAAACCATGAGACCATGAATGCATACTGCCCAACTGTATCTTTTAAGCAGAATATCCTGGATTGACAGAAGCCTTTCTGGCTTCCAATCCTAATCCCACATGTCCCATATTGCTCCCATGCTTTTGGGTGGGACCCAAAGGCAGGCATTTTTTTGGGGTTCCACACTGTGGCTCAAGTCAATTGGCTCACACCAGAGTGTGGGACCCAAAAAACAAACAAACAAACAACAAACAAACAAACAAAAGCAAAGCCTATCTTGCCCCCACATGTCACTGTTCTCCTTCTTCCTTCCATCACAGCACTTGTGGATGGTGGCTTCTGGAAATACATCTGTAGTACCAGAAGAGGAAGAGGCAGAAGATAGGACAGGGGAGGGTGGGTGGGTGAAGGAATAGTGAGACTGGGGTGGTGGGTGCACCAAGAAGTATAGTGATGGGGTAGGTAGAGAGTGCCAAGTTTGGGTGACTGGGGGAGTGGAGGAGCACAGATATGGGGCGGGGAGGATGGCATGTGTGTGGGTGTCCCACTTTTCCCTCTGGGAATGTTGGAGTATATGTAAATGATGATGGTGACTGGGAGGTGAGACATGGAAGGCAGTTCCTAGAGCTCACTCAGAATTAAACTCAGTTCTGCATAACTTTCCTTCTTGCTTATCATTTTGGTTGCTGCTGCCATCGACTAGGACAGTGCTGTTAGGGAGGGCCACAGCGACTGGCATTTTACTTTGGAGCCGGGCCCAGGACAAAAGTCAACCAACGATGCTTTTCCATATCTTCCTTCTTTGGGTTGCCGGTAGCAGCTACAGGGATGGGCCAGGAGGAGGAGGAGGTTCTGAAGAGCTGCAATTGTTCCCAAGTTTAGTTCTTTCCATTTCACATGTTGCGCTTACACAGAGTGTTAATGATTGTGACGTCCTGTTGAAAGGACATGGTGGGTGCTACAAGGAGCTCTAGTCCTCTGCAACTCCTTGCAAATCATCATGGGATTTGCATACTTGCACATCCTTAAGCTTTCCTATAACTTTGTTTACAGCAGGACAGAGCGGCATCTAGTTCCTCTTGTTCCATATTGCCACACTTACTTTTCATGTCACAACGTGGAGCAGGTGACCAGCCATTTTTGGTGCACACGGCTTTCGCTTGTTGATTAGCAGGATCATATCCATTCTCACAAGAAAATGAAATTTCGTCACCTTCTATGTACTTCAGCCGAAAACGGGCATTGAATGTACCATGTGCAAGCTGTCTAGGAATATCACATTTTTCTAAAAGCAATAAAGTAGATATGTTACATCATTGATAGACACATATTTTGCCAATTGAAATATCATTATAACTCTTCTTTTTATACTTAGAGAATATATGTATTTTTAGGATTTTGTCTTTTAAAAATTTGCAGGCATTTGAAAGAAGGAATTAACAATGTGCTTGTTCTGAGGTGACAAGAACGCGACATTAATATGATTCAACCCACCCCTACGTCCATAGCCACCTGCCCAAATGCCAAGATCTTCCACTGATATCAGGGGGTGGTGATCACAGAGAAAGCCTTTCCCTCAGCCATCCGCCCCACTTATGGAACACAATCTCCACTACCAAATGGGTCAGCCTGGTACTCAGCTTATTATATTTTTGGTGCCATATGAAGACATTTTCATATTAATTTTTAAAGTTTTCCACTCTGATTACTCACTGTCTAACCACGTTACACATTTTCCTTCCACATCTTTCAGAATAGGCATATTTTGTGTTTGCACATGGCCGTTTCCATTTCTGATCAAAGTTGAGAATGCAAGGAAAATGTAAACTTACTGAAGCATTTTGGTTCTGGACTCCAGCCGAATTTGGTACATGAACTTCTACCCCATGTTTCTTTATTTATTGGTAGAAAACCATCACGGCAACGATAGTCAACTGTTTGTCCCACCCTTCTTGGAAAATAGTAGTCTTTCCAGCGTTCGTAGGAATCAGATAGTTCTCCATTCTCAATCTGAATATAGCCACAGTTCTTTGCTTTGGAGAAGATGAGAAAAAGGTTGAGCCAAACATAAATCAATCAGGATGTTCAACTTGCTATTTTCCTTGGCTGGCTGGTTTAATGGAGGATGCACATTTGGCTCAAGTGTATCAGTGTCTGAATATTATCTGGGTTTCCTTCTTTGGTCTGTTTATGAAAACAGAAATAGATGACTGTGGCAGAAGATGCAGGTGGTCCCCAGACAAGGACGCAGGGTTATGGTGCAGGGAACTCTAATATTTTCGGATGCATTGAATGCTATCTGCTCATGTTTTGAAACTGCAAAGAGAAAGCTACTTACGAATACATATCGGAGGAGGAGACCACCCCGTCTCTGTACACATGGAAGTGGCTTGGCGACTCTGAAGCTGATACCCAGACGCACACTGTGTTTCGATTGTATCTTCATATTTGTACTGAATCTGATAGGCTGAAAGTTGCCATTTTCTACTTGTGGTGGGGAGCAGACAATTTCTATGAAGGAATGCAAGAAGGACATTTGGTCAGCAACAGATCAGGCAACAAATTCTTTACCTGGCTAGATATTATTCAGTACATGGGTATGAGCATTCATTTATTATTTGTTAAAAACCAACAAATCTCAAAGCAGCTCACAAAAAAAGATAAAGCAATAAAATGATTGATAAGAACGATTATCAATAATTTAAAACTTAAACAGGAACAACAACCACTCAGTATCCTTCCATCTCTAACTTGAGTTACCGGTACCTTTGCATTCAGGATACACAATTGAATCTCCATTGCACTGGATTACAGAAACAGATTGCGAAAGATTTGTTGTAACCATGTAGCCCATTTTACAGGTGAACTCAACAGAACCACCACGTGGTACATAGATGTTTTCAGATATGTCTCCATCCAACTTCCTTTTAATTTCTATCTTCCGATTTTCCATTTCAGCCAAAGAGATTGCACAGGGTTCTGTGAGGAGAAAGAAAATAAATTCTGTTCATGAAGGCACCCAATATATATAGCTGCCATCCTACAGGCTGACAAGCCCATGGAAAGTCATCAGCTGCCATGGTTGAAGAGGAAGGATGCAAAACCAGACGCTTTCCTATTAGGAATTTTAGGTACAGAAATACCAATGAAGCAGAAAAGACTTTTTATGCACATGACAACAAGAAAGAAGATAAAGTCCCATCCAGAGAAGAATGGTTGATAAAGATGATGGATTACGCTGAAATGGCGAATATGACCGGGAAGATTAGAAACCAAGAAGACAGAAATTTTAATAAGGAATGGGGAAGAATCATAAATTACCTTGGAGAACACTGTAAAGAACTAAAAACTTTAGCAGGATTGTAACAAAACTTGTAATGTAACAAGTACTGTGGTAAAACATGGCATTTTAAGAAAAAAACGGAGAATAATATAAGATGCAGTTGAAAAAAGATTGACAGTGGCACCCATGGAGGGTGGAGGGAAATCCAAGGATTAGATATGGGGTTGTAAATGTAAATTGTAAACTTGAAGAAAAATATTTTAAAAAGAAGAAGAGGAAGGATGATCTTCCTGAGAAATCTTGTAGGCCCTACATCTCACGTGGCCTGGTGGAGTGTCAGGGAAAGGAGGGGTACCCTCTTTAAAATGGAATAACCATCATCTCACATAACCTTTTCCTTCTTCCTCATAGGGCAAAACTTTCCCACCCTCCAATCCTTCGATTTAGAGGCTCCCACAGAGGCTTTTTGCAGTCACTGGTTTACACAGCCAGAAAAGATTTTTTCTCCCAACTACAGTTGGCCCTGGCTTGCTTAAAAGCAGTGCACTCAAAAAAAAGATATGAATTAGGTATCTCCCATGCTTTATCTCACATCCTTTACCATGAATTTGCCCCATATGATTCAAACGTCACAGAGAACCGCTGTCTGTAATATTAATGAAACAGGAAGTCAGACAATACAAACAAACGACAGCAATGAATTTCCTTAAATGATATTCTAAACTCACTCATGCAAATAATATAAGCACTACCTTTGTTCTTACCTAAGCAAACAGGTGCTTTTGTCCAAGTCCCATTATCACAAAAAGTTCTGTTATCTCCTTCCAGAGAATAATATTTTTGGCATTTGAACTGAACTGAAGAGCCAGCCTTGTACTGCTTCTTTGATAAGGTAATAATGTCTCCATTCTCAATAGCAGGTGGGCGGCTGCAGTTTTTCCCTCTTTCTGGTAAACAATAAAGCAATAAGAATGATGACTTAGTTCAGCAACCAAGGGCCAAGAGTGAAGAACAGGAAATACTCTCACTATCCTGGAATATTTATAGCAGGGGGGAAGTCACTTATGGCTCATGTGCAATAACATGGCCCATAACTACCAAGGTCTGTTGGGGCTTTGACTGCACTAAAAAACTGGTGGGTTGAACCACCAAGACATTAATCTCATAACTGCAATTATGTGATTTGCTCAGAATCTGAAACATGCTAGTTCTTTTCCAGTATGTTTCATGGGACATGGCAGAAAATGTAGCACAAAGTGGTTGGGGAAATTAATCCATTCTGTAGGTCATGCATGTTGGGAACGGTTTATCAAGGCTAATTTTTTTGGCCCAAACCAGGATTCCAAAGTAATTCACAAGAAACAATAACACAATTAACACAACTTTAAATGTTATGAACTACATCTAACAGCATGGGTTATGACATGTGTTAAGCATGACAACTCAGAGCTTTTTCCCCGGCCAGAACTGTGTTCCAGCATCTCTCAGATGGGTTCCATTGCCTTTATGAGAGAAAAAGTGAGGTATTCATGATGAGTTCCAGCACCTCTTTATCTAGAAAAATAGCACTGGATACACTGATCCTCATCGCCAGAGTGTCTGGGGCAGCCCAGTCATATGGAAGAGGTACAAATAATAATAACAAAACACTATGGACATGCCTCTGGTCCATACATTCATACTAACTGGATACCCAGCACACGCAGACCTATTTCTGATGCAACAGTCCTGGTCCAATCAAACCACAGTGCAGTGGGCTGAAAACAAACACTACAGCCTTGTCTCCATGTGCTTATAGCAGGATACAACCAATTCTGTGGAGGGGGAGGGGTGGTGAAAATTTGTGAACAAATGAGGAAGGCAGCCTTGGAACCTGTGGAACCAGTCAAAATGGAAAGTGTAACTGTTGAGCAATTTTTCAAGATGAACAATGTCTTTACCAGAGATACACGAGGGCAAATTCATGTGCCCATCAAGACACTTCCTGACCAAAGGCACTGTGAGGACATGCCCTTCCCTGCACTGGAACTGCAAGATCTGATTATGTTGAATCAGTTGTGTCCGTACTCGGTTCCCAGACAGAAGCAGGTTTTTGGCCTCAAGTTGTTGTTTTGTGACAATACAAGGTGCTGAAAGACAAAAAGGTGGCGATGGGGACACAAGTCAGGGATAATCACTGGTGCTCATTTCTTCATGTGCCCTATTCCGTTTGCCCTCTTTGTACGCTAAGGATTGGCTCACATTTGTCATCGTCTTCAGGGAGGGTTGCCATATCTTGATGATGAGAAGAAGAAGAGTTTGGATTTGATATCCCGCTTTATCACTACCCTAAGGAATCTCAAAGCGGCTCACAACCTCCTTTCCCTTCCTCCCCCACAACAAACACTCTGTAAGGTGAGTGAGGCTGAGAGACTTCAGAGAAGTGTGACTAGCCCAAGGTCACCCAGCAGCTGCATGTGGAGGAGCGGGGAATCGAACCCGGTTCACCAGATTACGAGCCCACCGCTCTTAACCACTACACTACACTACACTACACTACACTACACTACACTACACTACACTACACCACACCACACTGGCTCACACTACACTACACTACACTACACCACACCACACCACACTGGTTCTCAGTGAGCAAAGGAGCAAAGGAGAGGAAAGCCATGGCTGCTGCCATCCCAAGTTGGGGAGACAGGCATGTTCTTCTTTTTCCATCTCGGGCTGGCAGCAACCGTGGCATGCAGAGCCTCATCCAGGAAAGCAAAAACATTCAAGGAGGGTGCAAAACAGGCTGGTGAGGGGCACAGCTGCTGAGGGACTATTATCTAGAGAGAATACCGAAGCTCGGTTAGAGAGGCTGGACAGACCATATTTGTCTCCTGGGGATGAGATTCTGACACTCTGCGTTCATGTTTCCAGCCTGCAAACACAGCTTTGCATGGAGAGAAGCTATCAAAGGTCCTGTTGGACAATCCACAGTCTAATTTGAAGGTTGTTGTCTTCAAAGAGAAGATGGCCTCTTACCCAAGCATTTTGGTGGTGGTGTCCACTTTTGTCCACTGCATGTTATCCACTCAGAGCCTTCCAATACAAATCCGGGGTTGCAGTTGTATTGCACTCTGTCACTTTCAACGTAAGCGGCCTTCTCACCACTTCTTATTTCCCCAAAATCAATGTCAGGTGGTTCTTCACACACTGCAATCATATGTACCATCAAAACCAACTTAATAATAGTAATAATAATAATAATAATAATAACAATAATAATAATAATAATTGTAGTAAACTTCTTAAATCAAATACAAGCCAACATTACCAACACTTTCCAAATATATATTTTAAATTTAGTAAATTCTTTTTCCTAACATTTTTTGGATGGTAATTCATTAATTTCTATCAGTCAATTTGTGAATGGAATTACAAGGGATCAAATTAATGAACTTCTATTTATTGGACTCCTGATTATGTTAACCATACAGAAAAGGATGGTCATAACTGGAATGATCCATGTAGTAATATATTAGCTTCTTCATCCAGTTAAGCAAAAAAAAAGCACCTAAAGGGTTATGTGCAATCACAAAGGCATGGATATTATTGCTACATAGTTGATATGCATAGTTGATTCCAACACCATCCTAATCCTCAAAGAATCTACCACTATCTTTTATTTTTTTAAAAATCAATTTTATTAAAGGTTTCCAACCTAACATAGCATAAAATCCCACTTAAACTAAAGAGAATAATAGAAAACAATATAGCATAAGAACAACTAAATACAAAAAGAAAAGAAAACATATTAATAATCATCATATGATCCTCAGAAGATACAAAATTAAAAATATATATATGTAGCCCTGGGTCACCCTTTCATCTTGATTTTCACAGATACAGAGAGTTGAATCCCCCCACCTGAGAGAATTTCCTCTTCCACTGCTGCTATCAATTGCTCCTTCAGTCACTTCAACACAACGTTGCTTCGTCAATTAGCTGAGCAAAGACACTCTAACATTTATGTGCATGTAAGGGTGAAGGTGAAATATTCTGTCATTAATTAGTTAATATTAAAACCTTATTGCATTGTTCGTGAAGTGTCTCTGGTAATCCTTGGAGAACTGCCAACACAAATGGACCCAAAAAATCGCAGCTTTATACATAAAACAGTGCTGAATTAACATACATCTTTCCACACCTGCTGAATGCAAATGTTTCTATTATTAATACTGCAGTGACCATTTACCTTGGCAAAAGGTTGCCCTTTTCCACCATCACTCACCATTTTGGGAAGTACAGCATGTCCACTGAAGAAATGGAAGAAGATAGACCAGCAAGTTCTTCATAGCAGTGCTTGTTGCTCACCTTCTTCTAATTTTTCTAATGACTGACCTTGCAAAAGTCACTTTTGGTTTCACCAGTGGTTCATGGCTCTGTGTCATGAGAAGAGGAAGAATTACTAGAACGGGGAACATGAACTCTTTAACCCAGCAAGGCATGTTTGCAGAAGGTGGGTCAGTTTTATGTTGCAATTCTGGCAACAGTGGTCGAAGCACTGGCCCTTTGGTATAGCCCTGACAGAGCGTGTTCTCCCTAACAGAGAGCACGTGTTGCGGTTGGGAAAAACAGGCCACCCTGCAGTGACTAGGCAAATTTGGAGGAAACCAAGCCTTTAAGTGGTTAAAACTGGGTTGCTGGGGAGTTTTGAATGTTGCCAATTTGGAGGAGGGGTCAGAGTCTTTAAATACAGGGGCCAGGCGTTGGACGTTCTCTTGGCCATTTTGCACCGGATCACCCGCCCTCCCTCCCTTTTTTAGGGTGGTTTTTTTCTTGATCGCTTGACCTTGCTATGCCTGTCATGGGGTCGTCCGCCTTGGAGCGGGGGCCTGGTAGGAATTTTGCCATCTGGCTGATTGGCTGGTGCCATTTGGTTTTTGCCTACTGTGTAGCAAATCGTCACAACTTGTAAGGTTGGTGGTTAGGCATTGGTTAAATTGGTGCTTGGAGGGGTAAGTGCCTATCCCTCCAAATGATGCGAAGGGAATTCCGTTAAAGGAATCCAGGGGCTTGCCATTCTTTTTGTCCTTGTCCCTGGAGTCGGACTTGGGCCGTGCAAGCCCCACCGGAACATGAGGGTGAGAAGTGAGGGACTGATGCCCAGCTTCATTTTCTCACCCAATACTTGTTTCCCACGCTGGCTTCCATTGGTGTCCGGAAGGGCCAGCTCTGTCCTTGAGGGCAAGGACAGATAGTCATTACCAATGCCTAAGCAACCACTCACATTTTTTGTATTTGAAGAAAGTTGTGGCCAAAATTATGCCAAAAACCTTAAACAAAAAATCATGTGTGAAGTGTGAATTTTTTGGTGGGTGGCACTGTGGAACTCAACACGCAATGAGCCCAAAGAAGAAAGAGTCCTTTTTGCAAGTGTTGAAAACTTTTGGGCAAGCCCTTTTAACCATCTATTAACCTAGTAAGGGATAAATTCAATTCACTTTGCATTTAAAGCCAAATATATCTAATTCTCATTTCACAAAACAACACAAGAACCAAAACACAGTTGTCCTTCAAAACTCATACAATTTTGTGAGGAGGTTCTCCAATAAAACAGTGAATACAAAAATGCATCTTTTAGGGAAAGTATGCAGGAAATGAATTGGTGAAAATAACATGCAAAATTCATTATATCAGCAGAAATTGCTGGCAAAAGAATGTGTGCCTTAGGCCAGTACTCCATACAAAAAGGTGTCATTAGGAGACACTGGGATTAAAATATTCCTGTTCTCCTGAAAATATTATGGCAACAATAGGGTAGATTTGATTTTCTTAATTTAAAAATGTTATAGTCTGCAGGAGCACCATCTTGCCCTCAGGATTGCATGTGCCCACCGCCACACATGGATATGTGATGTCACACGCACGCACCTGCACATACTGCATGTGATTTTACACAGCCAGTGAGGCACACTTTCTGCAGAGGGACTTGACTGAGGCAGGGCAGAGAGACTGAGCCCTACCCCTCAGAAAAGGATGCCTCACTTTCTGGCACAGGAGAACGGATCCAAACTACTTCTTTCCCTGCCGGTTTTTTCCATTGACTTTGTGGGTGCCGGACTCCCACAATTATATTATTGTGGGTGCCTGAGCACCCACAGTCCCCTGGATTTGGCTCCTGTGCTACTTTGCCTTCCTCTGGAAAGCCCACAAGGCAGCTAGCAACAAGGAATGAAACCCTGAGTTATCAATGTAAAGCAAATTTTACAATGGCTGGATCTACACTGACCTGTTTAACACTTTGCCCCCGTATTAGAAGGATATTAGAGATGTCATTTGAAAATGCCTCAGGGCCCAGACTAACACTCAGCAGATTATTTCCCCTTTAAAACCAAATCTAATCTCAATATTAGTACTTGCTGGTAAGAGATGTAGCTGTTTCATTCACATCTCTTCAACTCCACCTGGTGGAACATGAAGCATTTAAAAAACAACACGTGAATTAGTATTTGCTGCACTGTGGAGGCTGCTGCTCTTGAAACTATCAGTTTTATCACATTTTTAAGCCTTAAGAATATAGTTTTGCAAGTCTTGATTAAAAAACAGTAGTACTTTATTGACTGCACACATACTGGAAAAGGGAAACAGTCACATTATATATGTGGATTTATTATATGGTGTCTTCCAGTTGTTTTCAACATGCATATAATACATAACTTGATTTTTCCAGTTCTGAAGATGTGGCAGTAAACAGTCCCACTGCAAAGTAAAACCTGTCTGTGGTGTTATATTTATAATAATTCACACACATTTAGGTCAACTGACACAACCATTTGGCACCATTTTAGAGCGAATTGGAGAAATTCATATTTTTGCTGAAATTGTGACCCCGGGGATTAGGGATTAGGTTTAGGGATTTTTTTCAAAAATTCTTTTTCCGCAGGTTAAGTTGTGGAGGGCTGATTTCTTGTCCTGTGATAAAAAGCCTTCTGTTTCTACCGCCAAACCTTTCAGCATTTCCAATTGTTTGGCACCATTTTTGAGTAAATTGTAGAACGTCAGATTTTTGCTGAAATTGTGACCCCGGAGGGTTAGGGATTTTTTCAAAAAAATATTTTGAAGCAGGTAAAGTTGTCGAGGGCTGATTTCTTGACATGTGATAAAAAGCCTTCTGTTTACACCGCCAACCCTTTCAGGGGAGCATTTGCAACCGTTTGAACTTTTAAAATGGACTGTTTGCAGAGAATTTGTGTATTTTGTGTTGCAATTCTGGCAGTAATGATAAAAGCGAACTTTCCTTGCAGGATTGGCAACTGACTGGGACAACTTTGCCAACTCTGTCCTTGTGTCTTAAACAGTTTGTTCTCTCTCTCTCTCTCTCTCTCTCTCTCTCTCTCTCTCTCTCTGTGTGTGTGTGTGTGTGTGAGAGAGAGAGAGAGAGAGAGAGAAAGAGAAAGAAAGAGAGAAAGAGAGAAAGAGAGAAAGAGAGAAAGAGAGAAAGCGAGAGAGAGAGAGAGAGAGAGAGAGAGAGAGAGAGAGAGATCTCAGATGATCAAGTGTATCCCTGTATGGAAATAACTGTGTTTCACTTGGTGGAAATAACCATGCTTACTAGCTAATGTCTACGATGCATTCCTCTATTAAGGAACAATTACAGTGGTTGGTTGAAAAGCTGGGTAGTTAGACTCTTAGGTTCATGACTAACCCAAACTGAACAAGGTATGTTTTATCCCTTCAGTTCTGGCCATCTTCAGTACACCTTGCCTGCATTAGATTGTGACTGTTTGCAAAGTTTTATATGATTTCGCAAAGGATGTCCACTTTCATCTCAAAAAGGGAGGGTGTGGAATTGTGTTTGCATGAGCTGGAGTTCCTTTCAGTCTGGCACAAGCCTGAAGTCATCTTCTGCGACAGCTAGACTGGTGACTGGGAGTGGCCGCCTAGCCCATATAACACTGGTCCCGAAAGATCAGCATTGGCTCCTAGTACATTTCTGAGCACAATTCGAAGTGTTGGTGCTGACCTTGAAAGCCCTAAATGACCCTGGCCCTGTATACCTGAAGGAGCATCTCAACTTCCATCGTTCAGCCCGGACATGGAGATCAAGCACTGAGGGCCTTCTGGCGGTTCCCTCATTGCGAGAAGTGAGGTTACAGGGAACCAGGCAGAGGGTCTTCTTGGTAGTGGCGCCTGCCCTGTGGAACACCCTGCTATCAGATGTCAAAGAAATAAACAACTATCTGACTTTTAGAAGACATCTGAAGGCAGCCCTGTTTAGGGAAGTTTTTAGTGTTTGATGTTTTATCGTGTTTTTAATATTCTGTTGTGATCTGCCCAAAGTGGCTGGGGAAACCCAGCCAGATGGGCAGGGTAATAATAAAAAAATGTTATTGTTATTATTTAATAAAAAAATATGACACACATTAAGTAACATATGCCACTGATGTAGTGGTTAAGAGCGGTAGATTATTAATCTGGTGAACCGGGTTCACGTCTCCACTCCTCCACCTGCAGCTGCTGGGTGACCTTCGGCTAGTCACACTTCTCTGAAGTCTCTCAGCCTCACTCACCTCACAGAGTGTTTGTTGTGGGGAAGGAAGGGAAAGGAGAATGTTAGCCGCTTTGAGACTCCTTCGGGTAGTGATAAAGCGGGATATCAAATCCAAACTCCTCCTCCTCCTCCTCCTCTTCTTCTTCTTCTTCTTCTTCTTCTTCTTCTTCTTCTTCTTCTTCCCTCTCAAACTTTAATGACCACTGACAGCCAGCCAGAGGTAATAATTATCCCTGTGTTTGAATGTATGTGGTAAAAGGCAAAGGGCTCAAAGCATAATATGAACATAACAGGAAAATCTTTCTGGTAGGACAATTTTGTAAACTTTAAAACATATTGCAGGTTGTTTTCAGTATAAACCAATAATGAACAATATTCATCACATGAGGGGTTTTTGTTTTTGCTTTTCTGCAAATGACACACAATCACTGCCAGCTAATAATACCATATTTACTTGAATGTAATGTGCACCTTTTTTTGCCAAATTGTACTGCAAAAGTTAGAGTGTGCATTAGATCAGATGGGGCATTTTACATTCGCCAGCAAATACTTCTTTGGTTTCAAAGTTTTGAAAATTGAGGTGTGCATTAGATTCAATGGCACATTAGATTTGTGTAAATACGGTAATAATAATAATCCATTCAAATCAAGTATATACTGTATGTCAATAGCCATGAAAGAAGTCCCCAGTTTAGGCTCAGTGTGATATTTTGTGAATAATTACTATTCATCTGGGTTCACATTTCCACCCAAGCGTGTGAAGCATCACCAGAGATGGAAGATTGTAACTGAAATGAAATAAATGGTTTAATGAT